CTGACAAGGAGTTGTGTATTTGTGCAGATCTCAGAGTAAGGGCTTGTGTACACAGGAGTTAGTGATAGAAGCAAGTCAAATGCAGGAAGATGGCTTAATCTGAGATGGGTCTGAGATGCTTCGGAGTTGCTTTTGACCTGCATTTGTTTGTATTCACATTGATTTGTATAAAGTTAAAAAAAGCAGTTCAGACTCTAGCAGTATAAGACTTGCTGCATTTATCAGGAAAAAAAGAGCAAGTAACAATAAATGAGAATGAATACTGCTTTATAAAATCCAAATCAATATTCAAATATTATAGACAAGGGCGGACTGAAACTCATGGGGCCCCCAGGCAATAGGGGATCATGGGGCCCCTGTGTCCTTGCCCAAACTCAAAAAAGCCTATGAAAAAGGTACCAGGGGCATCTCATGGGGCTCCCTACTGACCGAGTTTCCAAATGGTTAGTCTGCCCTTGATTATAGACTAAATCCTTCATAACTGCTTTACAAAGGCATGTCAGAAGCAAAAACAATTGTCTATGAACACAGCCCTGAGGAAGAATCATGTAAATGCATCTATGAAAGTTATCTCAGGGCTTTACCCTGCATGTTGATTTGGCACAGCCAGGGCCTGAACATTAGTAATTTTACCCCAGGAATTGTATTACAAAAAAAACACTGTTAGCCTGTCTCTCCAAATGCCTAGTAGTGTGCACAACAGTCAATAGACAGCATTTATCTGGAGTGAGTTCTTAGGCTACCACCAACCATACGTTGTGCAATGGTATTCATAATTGGGTAGCAAATGAGAGGTAATGATGGAATTAAAGTCCTTGGTTGCAGGAGGATTGTTGAAATCTTGTGTATGGATCTGCATCTCTGACTACAATAGAAAGAACAGACAGATACAGGATCTGTGGTTCAATCTGAAGAAGATACAACCTGGGCATGGCCTGACTAAGTTACTTATAGACTTGTGATGAAAGTCTCCCAGTAGGGTAGAATATAGTGTCATGTTAATAGATCTTGCATATGAATTCTTACCAATCTCCAAAGGAACAATCTCTTCCGCAAGTTAAAAATCTGGGCTGGTTACTACTGTTCTTCACTGTAATGAAATTTTAAACTGGAATCACTCTAATCACCCCTCCTTCAGTAGCTACACAGTATAATTTAGTCCTGTTTAAGGGCATGCTGTCCGATGTTGGTTCCTGAGTGTGGTTCAGTCATGCATACCCATCCGAGAAGCATGGTCTAGGGCAGCATTTCTCAACCGGGGTGCCGCGGCAACCCAGGGTGCTGCCTGATGTCCTCAGGGGTGCCGTGGCATCATGCTTGAAAAAGCAGTGGCAAGGGGAGGCAGCTTTTTGAATCCTGAGCTCTCCACCTCCCCCTACAGGACAGTACCCAGCTAGCACCATCCACAGCTGTGTGGATTGTAATAGAAGAATGATCTGACCCCAAGGTTCTGGTGAGTGGAAAGCAGGGCGGGGAGATCAAAAGGGAGGTTAGCTTGCAATGCTTAGCAGGGAGAGTGGTGTACATTGGAGCTCTTAGAGGGGTTTTGTGGTGTGGAGCTGAGCAGAGAGGGAGATGTGGAGCTGAGCGGAGAGGGGTTTGGGGTGTGGAGGTGAGCAGAGAGGGGGTTGGGGTATAAAAGGAGAGCAGTGAAGGTGATGTGGAGGTGAGCAGAAGGGGGGGGGGGGTTGGGGTGTATATGTGAGCGTGGAGGTGAGCAGAGAGGGGTTGGGGGGTGTGGAAGTGAGCAGAGAGGGGAGAGGGGATTTTGGGGGGTGGAGGTAAGCAGAGACAAGGTTGGGGTACAGGAGTGAGCAGAGAGGGTGGGTGTGAAGGTGAGCAGACAGGGAGGTGTGGACATGAGCAGAGTGGGGTTTGGGGTATGGAGCTGAGCAGAGAGGAAGGTGTGAAGGTGAGCAGAAAGGAGTTTGGAGTGTGTCGGTGAGTAGAGGGGGTTTTGGAGTCTGGAGTTGAGCAGAGAGGGGGTTATGGAGGTGAGTAGAGAGGGTTTTGGGGTGTGGAGGTGAGCAGAGAGGGTTTTGGGGTGTGGAGGTGAGCAGAGAGGGGTTTTTGGGGGTGTGGAGGCGAGCAGAGAGGGGATTGGGGTACAGGGAGTGAGCAGAGAGGGGGGTGTGGAGGTGAGCAGAGAGGGGTTTTGGGGTGTGGAGATGAGCAGAAAGGGGTTTAGGGTGTGGAGGTGAGCAGATATAGGATTTTGTGTGTGAAGCTGAGCAGAGAGGGGGGTGTGAAGATGAGCAGAGAAGGATTTGGGGGATGTGGAGGTGAGCAGAGAGGGGTTTGGGGTGTAGAGGTGAGCAGAGACAGGGGTGTGGAGGTGAGCAGAGAGGGGTTTGGGGTGTGGAGGTGAGCAAAGAATGGGGGGGGGGTGTGGAGGTGAGCAGAGAGGGGTTTGGGGTGTTGAGGTGGGCAGAGACGGGGGTGTGGAGGTGAACAGAGAGGTGTTTTGGGTGTGTAGAGGGTGAGCAGAGGGGGGGGTGGGAGGTGAGCAAAAGAATCTGGGGTGTGGAGGTGAGCAGAGAGGGGTTTGGGGTGTAGAGGTGGGCAGAGACGGGGGTGTGGAGGTGAGCAGAGAGGTGTTTATGGTGTGGAGGGTGAGCAGAGAAGGGGGGTGTTGGAGCTGAGCAGAGAGGAGTTTGGAGTGTGGGAGTTGAGCAGAGAGGGGGTTGGGGTACAGGGGTGAGCAGAGAGGGGGGTGGAGGTGAACACTGGGGGGTATGGTACAGAGGTGAGCAGAGATGGGGTTCTGGGATATGGAGGTGAGCAGAGATTGGGGTACCAAGGTGAGAAGGGGGGGGGGGGGGGGGGGTTGCAGTGCAGAGGTGAGCAGAAGGCTTCTGTGATGCAGAGATTAACAGGGGGATTGGGGTTGGAAGGTGGGCAGAGTGCACAACTTTTGCACTACACCACATCACACTGCAGTACCATGCAATCTGGCACCTGCAACCACACTGCATTTGTGGTCTGTGTATGGGATGCCGTTAACAGTGCATTGGCACCTAAACACACATTGCAAGGGCAATGCAATCACCTGCAGTGTGGGAAATGCACACAGAGCGTTCTGGTGTAAACTGGAGCTAGTCCCCAACTGCTTTTTTTTTTTTAATTTTCAAGTGCGCCCTGACTGGAAAAAGGTTGAGAAACACTGGTCTAGGGGCCTGTTCACATCAATATTTTTTATTTAATAGCTTTTGAATTGACACATCCATTTTAAATATTTCCAATACCAAATTTTATATCATCAGAGTAACTTTAATTCAGAGGATGAAAACAATGTTTTTTTAAACACAGCAATGGTAAGATGTAAAATCAATTGCAACTTTTAAAAAGCAATAAATTCTGGCTGCTGTAAATTCATGTAATTCAATTTTCTTTAACTGGACGTTGTAGAGGTGGATTTGAACAGGTCCCTGGATTCTAAGGCTAACATTCTCCAATACTACTGTATGTATATACACTGTACAATATATACCCATTACTAGAAGCTCCCACAAGACCTTGAGGGACATTTATCAATTCTGTCCCACAGTATGTACTGCTAAACCGGAGCAGTGAAATGGCTTATTAGACATATTTGCTATAAGATTGCCAATTGATTCACACATTCCTCCCTCTGCTGCACTTATGTAGCACTGTGACAACATAAATCTTGCAACTGACCATGTGTTTTTTATTAAAAATCTGTTTTCCGACCGATCTGTCCCAGTTTGCGTCCTGGGATTCCAGACACAGGGGTCATAAATATATGGTTGCATGTAGTTTTCTGAATGATAGGCAGCCTGATTTGCAATAGATGCATGCCTACATTTTATGCTAATTTGCTTGATAAATGGGCAGCACAGTGGCTAAGTGGTTAGCACTTCTGCCTGGCAGTACTAGGGTTGTAGGTTCAAATCCCAACCATGGCACTACCTGCATGGGGTTTGCATGTTCTCCCTGTGCCTGCGTGAGTCTCCTCTGGGTACTCCGGTTTCCTCCCAAAGACATGCAAGTAGGTTAATTGAATCCTGTCTAAATTCGCCCTAGTATGTGTATATATGAATGTGAGTTAGGGACCATAGATTGTACATTCCTTGGGGGTTAGGGACTGATGTGAATGTACAATATATATATGTAAATTGACAGTGCTATATAAGTACCTGAAATAAATAAATGTCCCTCGCTAGGGATGACAGCCAGTCACATGAAGATATTTCCAGACAGGCTTTATCAAAAACTCTAATTCACCTGTAATACACAGGGTAGAAGGGTCTTCTTTATATAATTTATACTAAGTCACTACTGAAGAGTACAGTATTTGGGAGGATTATATTTAATAGCAAAGGTCATTTGTATTGATCACCAACAGTGTCATTTCACCAACATTTCCTTGCATAGTGACAACAACTGTTACAAGGTTACAGTCACCTGACCTTTAACATGTAACCAGATTTGGGTGGTCTAAGACAGAGCAGTGGTATTACATAGCATAAATGAAGATGATACTTAATTTTACTTGGAAAAGGTGAATGGGAGCGGAATTTTGGCCACTGCCATTCATATAGAATTTAGGTGTCTGCACATACAATATAATTTAATATATACTGTTTTGTTAAATAAAAAAATGAAACACTGCATAATATACAAAAACATGTACAACAGAGCAAACACTTTGCTTAAAACAGTTCATATTTAAAGAACCATAGACTGTCTTCTTTAGGCATTCTCAGAGACAGGCATATATGTGTATTATATTACTTTAAAAATTGCTATGATAAAGGTCAGGGAAAGACAGCTGAGATTGAGTGTGAATTCCAATTTACAGTGTATTCAGTCTCATTATCTAACACGTAGCCATATTGCCACCACCTCCATCTTATATGATCAGAGTGGTACTGATTATAACATTGATTAGGTGGAAGGCCCCATGATATTGTGCGGGATAGGAAAGGTGGAGAGGTGCATGCGGGGCATTCAGCGGAGCTGACAATATGAATCTGATATTATTTCTGCATGTCACACTGCAGCAGAAGCACTATGGAGGGGTCACTCTTTGCTGCCTCTTTAAACTCTTCCAAGGTTATTTGGTCATCTCTGTCCTTGTCCATCTTTTTGAAGATTTTGTCAACTCTCTGTTGTGGGGTCAGGCCATCTTGATTCATGCGCATCATAATCACAGTACCAACCATCTTATAGATCGCCTAAAAGAGAAACGGAGAACTATGAAACTGCCACTTTTTATTATAGCTGAATTCAAGGCAGATGTAAAAGATACAGCTACAGTATGTATTCATAAATAAATCATCAGTGTGTGGGCATGCCCCTGATGATGTTACCTGTGACGAAACGCATAGGGTGGAGCTACGCACACGCGCTACTGCGCATGCATTTCCATTTTGTAAACTGGAAAATTTGGATTTTTTTGACAATCAATGCCTAACGATGTTTGCTTACATGTGAGTGCAACCATACTTTACATAAATGTTGTGATTATGATTTTACACTATGTGGAGCCTGGAGGAGGATTCGAGTGACCAGCTTTCTGGATTGTTTAACAAAGGGCGATTGACTACTCTTAACAGGGGGTCATGCCTTTCTGGTAAGCCTTCTGTAGTAGTGGTTGGTGACACAACAACTGTCTTTGGTTTTCTTTTGTTTCATCACAGCCTCTGGGACTTTTATTTTATTTTTGGATAGACTATTTTTTTTACACACTTTTCACTGTTTTCGTATGATTATTTGTAACTTTTTAAGCACTGCACTTTTATGTATAAATAAATCATTGCTTTTACAGTATTTCTAAATGCAATCAGGGTGAGAACCTTCAAGTGACTTGGAATCAGCCTCCTATCTGTCAAGGTCCTACCTTTTCCCAGAGGTTATGTTACTCCATGTGCTGGCATCCATCTTGGATTTCTGTTGAGCATGGTGGGAATCTTTTATGCCTTCAGGTCTCTGAGGTCCACCCCCAGAGGGGTGTGGCTGATTACATATAAGCCTGTGGTCCGCACATGCTCCTTGCACTTGTGTCTTTGTGTTGCTATAACTCTGTTCTGACTCTCGTGACTCTCCTGGAATCTGACTCGGCTTGTGACTCGACTATTCTTTGTGTTCTCCTTTGATCTGACCCTCTGTTGCTGAACCCGGCTCGTGACCTGTGATTCTCGTCTGCTGTCCTGTACCGTTTTGTCCTGTTGTTGTCGACCCGGCCTGCCTGACTACTCTATTGTCTTTTCCACCAGCTACACACCATTGGCGGCGGCCATTACCACAACTGAGGTGTCTCGGGGGCCGTGACCTGGTTCCTGGCTGCGTCAAGTCCATCCCCACCATCAGGAGCCCTGGTGAAGGGCAGCCTGGGACTTAGACTCCGCGCCCTGAGGGACTTCGGTCTGTGGGTGGTGGTTGTCGTCAGCCAGTGCGTTACATGTTATTAGGCCTGCCTGTCTGTTCCTCAGCTCCTGCCCTGACACTATCATTACTTATACAACAGCACTCAGACAGGAAGAGGAAATTAACATGTTGATAGGAGAAGAGAGCAGAGTGAACAACATATTAGACTTCTGCTGCTCCTTTATTGTCCAATCAGCAGGCTGGAGTGGAGACAGGAAATAGCTATATTCCTTAATTATGTAGTGCTCACTCCCAAAAGGGCTCGCTGATTTGGTCCCAAGGTTTTTCCCCCAAAAAGTACACTAGCAAACAAGCACACAGACTCTGAAACTCATCTAGCTCAATGATTAGTCTAGGAGTATCTGTTTTTGATGCTTTATTGAAAACTTGTACTTAGATGGGTGGAGGGCACCTGATGGGTGGAGGGCAACTGTGGGCTACTTCAGTAATGTTAAGTAGTAACTTGAGGACACCTATCTTCCTCTTAAAGATCCTTCGCACAGTCCTTGCAAAAGCAAATTATGAGCTGAGCTACACAGGGACACCATGAGCAATGCCCACTTTTAGTACAAGCAGACTCTGATGCAAGAGAGACAGCAACACAGGGTCACCTGGGATCTTACACACCAGTCTGTGCTCACAAATGTCTCTGGATAGTTGAATGCCAAATTCCAGTATCAGCTAGACATTTCTCCCGTGGGCTATTCAGACCAGATCCCCAAAAGGAGATCCCTCCATCAGCTCCAACAAAGTTCAGTAGAACAGGCCCCCTAGCTAGCACAGCTGGGAACTCGAACAAGTGAAGAAGCACAGATGGACTGCCCAGAAGGGCAGCCTCCCTTCAGGCCAGGATCCTTTCCTCCAGGACAAGATTCTGCTCCCAGCCTCAGACTATTTATGCTCACTCGCAGCTGCCATCTGGGCACCCTCCCTCAAGAATTTGCTGCGCCCACATAATTATTCAGACTGTAAATCTGACTCTCCCAGCCCAATATTTTCCAGAACCACCTGAATGAAAGGGGGAAGCAGCCAAACCCACAACCTGTGAAACTCAGTAGACCAGAGAAGTCACAAGCAGCTCCATTGATTGCAGGAGAGCTAAAATAGCTAAAAATTTACCTAACCTAGCACCTTATCTAAGAGAGTGCTACAAATATAAAAGCTGTCATCCACCTTGTTTTGTGCAAGAGCGTTGTGTAAATCTCAGGAATGGGTGGGCAGAAGTACTAATTTTTTGTTAGACAGGTAAACATCCGCCTTATATGTATTTTATCTGTGTATTTAGCGATTTTCCTGGAGTTCATCTTTAATATTACCATTTATATTGAAATGGCAGAAGGGACTGTGAGTTGCACACTTTTTTTAAGTTAATTGTTAGCTAAATGTTTATGTGATGGTGGTACTTATTACCATCACGTGTCATTAAATACAGTACACCCCAAATTCCACCCCATAGTGTTTACAGGGATGCAATGAAATAGGCACATGTCTGCATATTTGGTGGACATGCCCAGTGGCACGCATTCTTTGATTGAACACTTATAGAATGCTAAGTATGCTTTTCAACAACATTTCACTGAAGAAATAGTAGAAGCTTTACTCCTTAAGCAACCAGAGTGAATTGTCTATAAACTAATAACACTCATCAAGCAGACTATAGCAAAAGCATGGGAATGTTCTAACTTGGATCCTAAAGGTCAAGAGTATTGTGGATGATGTCCAATAATAAAATAACAGCCATATTGAATGATAAAATGGCTCTTTTAGAGAAGGTGTGGTTCCTATAGAGCCAACAGTACCTTACCCCAAATTTTGTTCACTGCCTCTTGAACTTTTAAACCCCACTGATATTCCTCCAAGTTGACCAAGAAGACTAAGAAGTCCCTCCCCTCCCCCAACTGCATAACTTCTCAAACTCCTACCTTTCCCTCACCTCCCAATTTTTCTTTACCTCTGTACTTCTCTTATGCCCATTGATACATTGGTACACTACCTCTCATAGCTCATTGAAACATTGTATATATCTATAAAACATAAAAAATTGCAATATACCACAGGTACTGTAACCTTTTTCAATATACCGTAATACACTGGGCTTTTCATATTCCTTTGTTTTAACTTTGTTAAAACCTCAAAAAGTATTTAACAAAAATGTCTTAATGGCTAGAAAAGCTGTACTGTACAACATATTGTTAAAGTATTTATTTTAGTATTTTGTGTATCTAATTATCGCTTTGCCAATTACTATGCTTTCCTAGCAGTGTAGCCTAAACTTACCTCAATTATCTCCAACATCTCCAGCCTGGTGATCTTCCCATCCCCATCTAAATCGTACATCTCAAAAGCCCAGTTTAGCTTTTGCTCAAAGCTTCCCGTGATGTGACACTCAAAGCACAAATGAATTCCCGGAAATCTATGGTTCCATCACCATTCTTGTCAAAAGTACGAAAGGCATGCTGTGCAAACTTGGAAGCGTCACCATAAGGGAAAAACTGTAGGAATAAAGTAACCAGACATAAAGAAGTTGTCAGTTTTATAGATTTTAAATAGTAAACTTGACATAGAGAGAAGGCTTAGAAAAGCTTTACAGAAATTTAATATTTAACAGCTGTAGGAAACAAAATTAGAGATCAATCAAGTATTTGCTGTTCTTTATATAATGAATGTAAGAAAATGACTGCTACAGTATGAATGCTATGAGCAACACATCTATTTGTCCCACTGCCCACATGTTTTACACATTAGTCCTCGAGCAAGTGAATGTAGTTCTTAATTAGTGCGTCACAGTCAAGATATTAAAGAGGAATATCACCCTCCCCACCATTTTTTTTTTTTGCTCCCCCGCTTACCTGATGCAGAGATGGCCACATTTCACATACTCACCCACACAGAGTATTCATTGTTATCCTGCTGAGATCCTCTTCTCTGCAGCCACCGCTGGGTCCAGCTGCCATGTTCATCTTTTACATCATCGGGAGGATGCGCTAGCTCTTCCAGATTCTGATGCAGCCTACTGATGACGAGCCACTAGGTCAGCCCCCTTCATTGTTGGTGAACGGGGTGACATGCAGGGCACCTGGTGCCTCCTGGGATGTGCACGTCACATAACTCAAGAGGCACCAGGGGCAGTGGTGTCATACGCCTAGAAAGGCAGAGAATAGGGGATGGGCCAAAACTTAAAAAAAAAAACAGTAAAAATAAAAAATTACACTGATGGTCCCTTTTATATTTTATCATGTTTATCACTACCTCAGTGGAAACAATATTTTTAGTAAGACTTTGGCATATGTGTAATGCTATACTGTCTCCCCCCATATTTCCAAAGTCACTGTGCTCTGCCCAGTGGTACCAAATGGTTATTACAAGAATGGAGCATGTTTGCTCTTGTAGGTTTATAGATAAATTTAGTTTTTTTTTGGCAGGGTGGTAGTCATCCCAGTTTGATTTGTGTAGGCATGCATTTGGTTTTTCCTTAAGCTCAGAAGGTTGGTAGTTCTCATTGTCAGCAGTAAGGGTCATCACTCCACTGGCTATAGTATGAGAATTCCTGCTTAGCTGAGTTATGAATATTAATTTCCTTCTGGTCATCCCAGTAGGAGGTTCAAGCCACTGGGGCATGATGAGGGAGAGTATAGATATTTGGGAAAGCTGTGTGCTAGCTCTCTTGCCTCATGCTAAGGCCTGAGGAGTTGCTGCTGGAGGACTACTCATACTGCTAAGCCCAAAAGCCTCACTGGGGCCTAGCCTATCTTTTGGAACACAAATCTGCACATCTGGCCTAAGAGATTCACCAGCTGGGAAAGCTGCCATCTCTGAAAGTGTGCCACGGGTTCAGTAGTTGTTCCTCAAGGGGGCCTGGCTGTAGCAAAGCCTAGGAGCCCTACCCACAGAAACACCTCTGGAACTTTACCTCTGAAGATCCAGTCTACTATTACCTCACTGGCATCAGGAAGCTAAGTCTGAACAACTAATCCTTGGCCTCCTAGGTAAAAGACTGCTGATCCAGGTGACGTTGCTGCTGCAAGGAGATAAGAGCCAATGTAGTGCTATGGGGATAGAATGCTTAACTAGCCCTAATCTGGCCTTTGCTTTCCATGCGCAGGGGCTGAGGCGTGTTGGCCTTTAGGACCTTCACTAGTGAAGCTAGTGTCCTCTTTTTTGAATTTGTACTTATTGAAGTATCCCATGCCCTACACCCCTCCACAGTTACAAGTTTATTCAGCATTAAATTGTAAAAAAGACATCTCCCAGACTTAGGGTTGCCACCTCATCCCTTTAAAACCAAACACATATTAATTACACAGGTTCTGTGGCTGATTAAGGTGGCAATTAAACACACCTAGTGCTTTGTCTGCATTAAATTGGCCTCAGAACCTGTGTAATTAATATGTGTTCGGTTGTAAAGGGATGAGGTGGCAACGCTACCTAGACTAGTCATTGGATCAGTGTGCATGGAGTCAGTAAAGTATGTGTGTTGGCAGCCTCTTCACAATCAGGAGAAGAACACTTTCAGCTACGTGACTGTACTTTAATCACGTTTTATCATCATCAGTCAGCGTCCCCTTTGGGGGTACCATTACACACAGTAAATAGGTTACAGCTAAACTGTTATGCAAACTATATTTACATCCAGTAATATGTTAATTTTATCACACAGCTGACCTGAGTTGTATGAGTATGGCACCCACAGTATTATACAGTGGGGAAAACAATTATTTGATCCCTTGCAGATTTTGTAAGTTTGCCCGCTTACAAAGAAATGAAGGGTCTATAAGACATAATATCAACCAAATATCCAGAAAAAAACAAACGATATTAATTTTATAAATTGGGTTGCAGTTCAGTGAGTAAAATAAGTATTTGATACCCTTCCAACCAACAATAATTCTGGCTCCCACAGACTGCATATGTGCTCAGGTGGTAAACAGATTAGTCCTGTCAAAGACACCTCTCCACAGAATCTTTCTTCCATTCAAACTTCCCTGTCATGGGCAAATGACCAAAGAGCTGTCAAAGAACATCAGAGACAAGATTGTAGACCTGCAATAGATTGAAATGGACTACAAGACCATGAGCAAGATATTTGGTGAGAAGGAGACAACTGTTGGAGTGATTATTCGCAATTGGAAGAAATACAAAATAACCATCGATCAGCCCAGAACTACATGGGAGGAGCTTGTGAATGATCTCAAGGCAGTTGGGACCACAGTCACCAAACAAACCATTGGTAATACAATACACCACCATAGATTGAAATCCTGCAGCTTAAGAAGACACATGTATAGGCCCATCTAAAGTTTGCCAATGAACATCTAAATGATTCAGAGAAGGATTGGGAGAAAGTGCTGTGGTCAAATGAGACCAAAATCAAGCTCTTTGGCAGTAACTTGACTCGCCGTGTTTGGAGGAAGAAAAATGCTGACTATGACCCTAAGAACACCATCTCTACAGTCAAGAATGGAGGTGGACATATTATACTCTGGGGCTGTTTCCCTGCTAAAGGTACAGGCCTACTTTACATTGAGGGGCCAGTGGAGATCAGGGCCATGTATTGAAAAATCTTAGATGAGAATCTTCTTCCCTCAGCCAGAACACTGATGGCCCATGGATTTGTCTTCCAGCAGTCTACAGACCTTAATCCTATAGAAAAATTATGGAGGGAGCTGAAACTTGTAGTTGGCAAGCGACAGCCAAGAAACCCTAAGGATTTAGAGAAGATCTGTAAAGAAGAGTGGACCAAAATCCACTTTTTTGGAAAATGGGGTGCAGCTGTGCATGGTAGCCAGTCAGCTTCTATCTTCAGCTTGTTCAGTTAAGCTTTGACAATTGTAGCACCCTGCTAATCAGCTAGGGGGAGCTTGCCTCCAATTGTTAGCTAGGGCTGAATAGTAGCCTGGGTGTGATAGCTAGCAGGGGTCAAAATTTGGTCAGAGCTGAGAGGCTCTGCAGACAAACCCTCTGAAATTTCCCCCTGCTCTAGAACTTTGGATAAAGGTCTGAAAGCAGTGGGTGGATCGGAGGAGTGGCTGCTTTGTACTCTTAGAGGATCCTGGCCAATACCCAACAGGAGGCTTGGAAAAGGGAGAGGACAACCTTTAAGAGTAACTGAGCCTGCTCAGCAGCAGGAGGAGGAGTAGAGAGGTGGTTGGAGATAGAGTGGAAGATGTGAGAGACAGGAGCCTATGAGGGGGCCCAGATAGAGAGGGGCTCGCCTGCAGGCAGAGGACCCTGGAAGACTGAAAATTTGGGACCTCACAGGGATAAGTCCAGGAGGTGACATGCACCTCATTGGCCTTAGAGTGGTTGTAAAGGCTGAAGGTTTTTTACCTCCATGCATTCTGCGCATGAAGGTAAAAAACCTTCTGTGTGCAGCATCTCCCCCAGCCCCTCAATACTTATCTGAGCCTCATCGCAATCCAGCGATGTGAATGACCGCCTCGGCTGTTCCAGGTCTCTGCCTATTCATTGGCTCCCGCTGCTGTCAATCACAGACAGTCAGCCAATGAGGAGAGGGGGGGAAGCAAGCCGCAGCTCTGTGTGTGAATGCTTGCTGTGGGGGCACCTGACAGACAGGAGGAGTCAGGAGAGACTTTGGGGGACACGAGAAGAGGAGTATCCAGTCTGCCCATTGCACACAGCAGGTAAGCATAGACATGTTTGTTATTTTGCAAAAAAATAAAAGAACCTTTAGAATCATTTTAAAGTGGTTCTAAAAGCAGGTTTTTTACTTCAATGCATTCCCTCCATTAAGATAAAAACCTCTCCTATCTCGATTCAGAGCTGTGCCTGAAAGCAGCGTGTTAGGGAAGGCTTGCCCATAATACAGGTGACAGTTCACAGTGCATAACTATGCGCATGCGCACACCAGCAACTGGCCAGGTAGATGTGCATGGACGTAGGCATAGGCATGTGCACAAGTGCACTTGTTCATACAGGAGTGTGCCTGTCACTAATTATTATTATTATTACACAGCAATAACAATACAATGCAAAACATGAGGGGATCGAGGGCCCTGCTCTTTTCGAGCTTACAATCTAGAAGGGATGGGATGGTAGCACAGGAGGAGATAGCTGTGGGGGATGGAGTGGTAGGAAGAGTGGAGGAGGTCGGCAAGTTAGCAGGGGGTGGGGTAGCTTTCCCTGAAGAGGTGGGTTTTCAGGGTGCGCCTAAAGGAGAGGAGAGGAGGTGATAATCTGATGGGTTGGGGCAGGGAGTTCCAGAGGATGGGGGACACCCTGGAGAGGTCCTGGAGGCGGGGATGGGAGGAGGAGACCAGGGAACTAGAGAGAAGGAGGTCTTGTGAGGAGCGGAGTGTGCGTGCTGGGTGGTACTTGGA